CGTCCATGTAATCATGACGGCCACATGACTTTGGAGGTGTCTATGGACAACACTGGCTCTTCGGCTTAGAAATGGAGATGGGCACCCATTCCCAGATTTAGACACAACTGGACTTAATCTCAGGGGAAAACCTTTACCTTTACTATTTTATATTTACTATTATCTGCTTTGAGTTCCTGTATTGAGGGAATGTGGGATAATAAAGACAACAACAACAAGCTATTATCTGCCCCCACCCCCTGCCACTACAACTTACCCATAGTAAGTTTGATGAATATGATGAATATGAAAATCTTGGATGTATGTGACTTCAAGTTCAGCTTAGGGATGAGAAAACAACAGTAACAACAACAACAACAACAACAACAACAACAACATTATTATTTTTTAACCCCACCTCCATCTCCCTGAAGGGACTCGGGACAGCTTACATATGGCACAATGTGCCTAAAAGCATGCATAAAATAAACACATAATACAATTCAAGATAAAACCGATAGCATATAAAACAAAGTTTAAGCTCAAAACAGCACCCAATAACCTATGATGAGTATGTTTTGCTTCACATATCTTCTTACTCTCAAATTATTGCATGCATTTTAATAACTAATGCAAGACTACTCTGATTTCTTTACTGCAGGTGAATTTTTAATATTAGTTATGAATCACAAATATGAGAGAACTTGTCTTCGATACACACCAGTCAGTACAGAACTACTTACCGGTTTCTCATACTTGCCATGGTTGGTATCTATAAGGACACAGGATCAAGGTCCTGTGTGACACATGAGGTTGTGGAACATAATTTGACAGTACTTATAAACAAAGAAGCTTAATGATGCCATAAAATAGCAATATCATCAAAAGTCCAGTTCACAAAAAGATTCAGTTCACCAAAGGTGGCACTAATGAACCTATTACCCAGCTATTTCTCATGGTCAGTTTCCTTGCACTACACATCATATCTAATTAGCAGGAGTTTCATGTGTGCCACCTGGACAGTGATATTTTCAAAATGGGTTTCAAGTCTTAAAAAGTTTAAAAAGCATAATAAACTAAGGCTTGGAGAGCAGCCTAATTATTTTCCAAAATGAGAACACCTTCAGAATGTAAAGTACAGACTGTGAGTAACTTGAGATTTGGAATGCCTGCCTCTTTGTTACATCCAAGATTCACAAAACTCTGGCTGTGAGTCTAGCAACTAGACACGGAGTAGAGGGTGAATTACTGCTCTGTTTTAGTTAATTGCTCCATGATGCCATTAAGTTGTGGGGAAACAAATATCCTTTCAAAGAACCTGTTGTAATGGGCTCTGGCTCCATCTCCTGCTCATGAGGAGCCCTAAAGCCTATCTAGCTACCACCATTACAATTTTATCCCCATGTGACCCGGTGCTTTGTTGGAGTTATTGAGTTGTTTCAATTGAACTTTTTTCACCTCTGATTCACAGAGACATTCCCTCCTCTTCTCATGGAGATGAAAATCCCCACACATATCATGCAAAAACACATGGAGAGAACATGAAAATAAAGATATTTTTACAGGAATACTTTGATCCTAAGCAAGCAATCTTAGATGAGGAAAGAGTATCTTGTACTTGAAAGCTCTTTTCTTCAGGAGTTACTTAAGCATAGTTACAAAATTTATATATTTACTGCATTTCTATGCCGCCTTTCTCAGCCTGAAGGCATCTCAAGGCGGCTTACACTGGCAGGATTTGATGCCACAATAAATATAAACAAAATTAAAAACAATTAACACACATTGTAAAAACCCTGTAAAAGGCATTAAAAGCATAAAACACCAGTAACTTTCTATTAGCTCATTGTCAAGCTGTTCCATGTTCATTCTTTCCTGGGTTCCATATTCATCCATTACACTGCATTTTCAAAGGCTTGTTAAAAAAGCCAGGTTTTTATTTTTTTTTGGAATGTCAGTAGGGAGGGGCTGATCTAATATCCCTAGGTAGGGAGTTCCATAGCCAACGAGCCACCACTGAGAAGGCCCTGTCTCTTGCTCCCGCCAGGTGTGCCTGTGACAAAGGCAGGATCAAGGGCAGGTCCTCCCCAGATCTTAAATTCCTAGCTGGTTCACAGGTAAGCTGTGCTGGAACCCTTTAGGGCTTTATAGGCTAAAGCCAGCACTTTGAAATGTGCCCAGTAGCAAACTGGCAGCCACTGGGGCTGGCACAACAGAGGAGTTGTATGCACCCTGAGCGCTACTACCGTTAGCAACCTGGCTACTGCCCACTGGACCAATTGAAGCTTCCAAACAGTCTTCAAAGGCAACCCATGTAGAGCATGTTTCAGTATACAGGATGTAACCAGAGCATGGATTACCGTGGCCAAGTTAGACTTCCCCAGGTACAGACGCAGCTGACACACAAGCTTTAACTGTGCAATGCTCCTCTGGTCACTGCCGAGACCTGGGGTTCCAGGTTCTACGATGAATCCAGGATCAAACCCAAGCTGTGAATGTGCGTCTTCAGGGGGAGTGTAACCCCATCCAACAGAGGCTGTAACCCTATGCCCTGTTAGGCCTTTCAGCTGACCAGAAGTATCTCTGTTTTGTCTGGATTCAATGTCAATTTGTTCTCCCTCATCCAGACCATCACAACGGCCAGCCTGAACAGCCTCCTTAGTAGCAGGTGGGAAGGAGTGACAGAGTTGTACGTCATCTGCGTACAGATGACACTGCACCCCAAAACTCCGGATGATCTCCCCCAGGTGAGGTTAGAAGAAACATGAGCCATAATACAACTAGCTACACATTCTGATTCTACTCATGATACAGGTGGTATTCGGTGTCTTTGGAAGTTTGTGGGAATTTGAGACTCCAGACCTCTTTGTCCAGACTATCAGCCAGCTTACTAGTAATGGTGAGGAAGACAGCACTTTCCCTACCACTCCATCAATTCCACAGTCTCTCATTTGATCTCTCTCAACCTCCGTTTTGTTCCTTGTAATACCTCGTTTTCACAACCTCTTGCTTGGAGACATGTGGAAGCCACCCTTCTTAAACTGGTCATCCTCACTGGAGATTGTGTTTTGATTTCTGTTGCCCCTACATGATGCTGATTCTAAATAAATGTAAACTAAAATCTACATATAATTAATCAACACATCATATTACCCGAACAGAGACTATGTCCTCCAGCTGTGTTGTCCAAATAAAGGGGAAATTCCATTCTCACACCTGGTGTATGGGCCCAACCTACACTATGTTTAGCAATGGTCACTATTTTTATCCTTGATCCTGGCATTCTTCTAATTCAATAATTGAAGAAAGACAATGCCTTTTGTAATGAAAAAGACACCCCACTCTAAAGAAAACACAAATTATATTGCTCTGAAAGTGCTGTGTATATCACACTGTTATCTTGATGATCACCCAATGAATTTAATAAGGTTTTCTTCAGCAAGAAATCTCAGTGATGTTTTTACCAGTTCCTTCCTCTGAAATATACCTTACAATATTAATTAATTGATAGTTCCCCTCCAAGTACCACCCATGGCTGAGACAGCTTAGCTGTCAGGATCAGATGGGATCTGGTGCCTTTAGGGTATTTAGGCCCCTTTTAAATATGTTGTTGAATTTTGTCTATTCAATTGCATCCCTGAGCCTTTATAGTTAACAACAGTGTTCTGGGAACGGTACATTTTCCCATTCTTTTCAAAATGATGCCAGTTCTCCCTAGTGTTGTGTGTTGTTCTGTTTGCCTCTGTTTCCAACAGCAGTCTTGCTGGTCCGCCTAGGATGTGGTGCTTCAATGATATGAGACAAGACGAAGAGAAAATTTCCTCTGGTAAGAAACTCACACCTGGCTTGATTCATCAGAGCTCAATGAAGAAAATGTTGCTAAAGGCTCTGGTAGAGAGTTCTGGAATCAATGCCTTTTCCTCTATAGACTCACCTTTTTTCAAAAGAAGAAGAAAGATCCGGTAATGATTCACAAGTGACCCATTCAATGAAAATCAGGAACACCAATGACCTACCTGTCATCCTTTAGCATTCCACTAACAAGCTTAAAAGTACAGGTAAAGGAATAGCATTAAGCCACAAAACAGCTCACAGAAGGGGAAAGAACTCAGGATTAGAGGAGAGACTTGCATTTCGGGAAGGTAAGCAATACAATATTTACTACCATCTCTCCCCTACTCCCCAACAATCTACATCCCATTGAAGGAGGCATTAATGTTGTCACAGTTTGTTTTACATGTAGAGCCAGAAGTAGAGAAAATTTACATTTTGGTAACTTTCTAGAAGGGAAGTATATCATTCCTTTTTGTTTCAGGGAAACTCCTAGACAAGATCAGGATAAGTGAGAGTTTAATGAACGGTCATTAGATTTCTCACTTTGACCAGGGAGGTGCCTCAAACGGATTCCTCTAATTTGAGAAAAGCATTGTGTTTCTTAATAACAGTTCTACTAAGCTGTTAGGGTACAGCCTAAGATACTAAACACACTTAAAGTGCAGAGATACTTTTTAGGAACAAGGAAGATGCTAGGTTAGAGGTAGTGTAACCACCTACAGTGTATACATGAATTACTGGAATTGTCAGACAATTTTCCAATATGGTCAAGGCAAGTTACAAACATAATTCAACAGCATTTGAGATACTCCTTTCCATAGTTGTGGGGTTTTGAAGCATTACACACCAAAGGCAGCAGCACGGTGCACCTTAATACCCTCTTAAATTTCTTATTGTCTGTCTCCCTATATATAAGACTAGGATGCCAGCTTCACTGAAGTGAACTGCCATCAAATTGCCTGCAAGCCAGTTACTTTACTTAAATTGTTATGTAGTGTGTGGTGAAGGTTTAAAATCTGCCAGGACTCATTCATATATTGATTTTTTGAACTGGATTTCAGATTCTGAAGTTTCATCCTCGCCCATGTATGTGTGAAACAAAACCTAGTCTGGTGGGATCAAACTGTAACATACTATAAACACCATGATCAGCTTCTTATTTACTGCTTTATTTCAGTGCAGGCAGCCTGATGAAGAACACACATTGGCTTTTTGTTTTCGGACTGATCACTACTGCTTTCCTACCAGGAGGCTGGGAAATGGTCCTGAAAGACTCTACAGATGAGGCTAGGTAAGAAGAAATATTTCAGAGTGTCAGTAGAATAGAATTGGTGTGGTAACTGGGAGAGACCTAGATGTTTGGTGTTTGCCTATGAGAAATTAGCACCATACTGCACAGTGAAATTTCTAAGAAAATGAAAATATATTTCAAGCCTCTGATAGGGGCAATAGGGGTTTAACAGAATATTATAGAGGTGCTTTTTTGATGGCTACAACCTAATTAAGATGGACTGTTACCCATCTGAAGTATGTATTACTTCAGCATGAAAAAGATTGTAACATTCTCTGGAAACAAATGATTTATGGAAAAAATGTATTCTATAAGTCTTTCCAGCTTTTGAAAAGACTGAGCCTCAGTTAATCACTGGAGCCCTATCTCAAATGATATTGGCAAACAAGCTGATACTGCACGTCCCCATCTCAACCTATTTCCATTCATTAGATCTTGTGAACAAGCAGTGGGTATGCACAAAGCCCCATAACATCCGAAATTGTTCCCTGTGGTTATTTACTAACATTTTTATAACTATATGTTTCCATAATTATTCATTATAATTGCAATTATAGTCAGTGTGTGGTTAGGCTCTTTGTATTAGAGATAAAACGTTCTAAACAAGATAGAATACCTTGTTCCTTTTTTAAAGTTGCATTTTGGTATTGTGTATTTTCAAGTAATTTTCACTCATGGCAACCTTAAGAATAACATATTACAGGGTTTTCTTAGCAAGGTTTGTTCAGACGGGTTTTGCCATTGCCTTCCTCGAAGGCTGAGAGGGTGTGACTTCCCCAAAGTCACACGGGGTTTTTCCATGCTGAGCTAGGATTTCAACCTTGGTCTTCCAGAATCCTAGTCCAATACTCAAACCATTACATCATTCTGGCTTTGGAGACCTTTGTATTCCCTACAAATTCAGGCTGGTATGAGGAATATGCCTTGGATTTGAAAGAAGATAGTGTGACTGGCCATGAAAATAGTCCCTACATTGTCCTCTTTTCGCAGAGATTTGAAAACCTGGATGTTTCAACTGCCTAGTCCCTAGTCATAAATGCCCAGTCCCTATATTCCCTGATAATATTTTGTCGTGCCCATTGTACTACTGGCAATTGGTCTTATTAAATATTGTTTTGACTGAGTTTCAATGCTGTTGTTTTATATTTTATATGTTATCAATTATGCTTTTATCTGGTTTGTTATATTTTACTATGTTCTTATTTTAATTGCGCTTTTGCTTTAATGGATTGTTCTGTATTTGTGTCTTGTGGGCATTTTGTCCCATATGTAAGCCGCCTGAGTCCCTATGGGGAGATGGTGCTGGGGTAGAATAATAAAGTTGTTGTTATTATTTATAGTGGAATTAATACATTTCTACTCATTGCTGGCTTCTTAAACAGGTGGCAATCATATGAAACAGAGAGCGCCCACAGTTTTACTTCCAAAGTCAAGCGACACTCTGAAGGTACCTTTACCAGTGATTTTACCAGACATTTGGACAACATGAAGGCCAAGGATTTTGTGCACTGGCTCATCAATACCAAACGTTACAGGTATAAGGAGACTAAATCGGTTTTTCATTCAGAGAAAAGGTGACAGTTCAGCAAATAGGCAAAGCAGGGTCCAAAGGAAAGTGATTTCTAAACTACTAAGGGACTGTTGTTGTACGAGAGTGCCAGATTTGTGCAGTACAAGAGCAAGGGTTTTTTTGTTCTCAGTAATTAAATAATAACAGCAGTGATAGATGGATAGATAGCTGGATAGATAGATGGATAGATAGGCAGATAGATAGGCAGATAGATAGATAGAGATATATGCTCATCTTTGGAATGCAGAAGACATACTTAGTACTGAACATTGATGCCACAACCATTTTCTTACTCTTCCTATTACCAGCTCTTCAAAATGGTTTGTTAAACAAAATCAGTGAATTGTTTTAATGTTTTTATAAAATCAGTGAACTGTTTAAATGTTTTTATATATTTATATATATTTTATAATATGTATATTTATGCTTGTTTTACTCTGTTGTTGGCACTGGTAGCCGCTCTGAGTCCCTCTGCAGAGGTTGAGATAGGATGGGATACAAATGCCTTAAATAAATAAATAAAATAAGGTATCTAATTCATTTCTCATTTGCATCTCATTCGGATCTCTCCGCTCTTCCCATTTTTGATCTGTCTTGATTTTGCATCTGCCTCTGTTTCTAGATCCCTCAACAGATTAAATCATAATTGACTAATCAAGAATCCAATTTTTAATTCCCTTGTGGACTTTCTGGAATGTATTGCAAACGTATAGACATTTTTAAACAAGCAGTATTGGTTTCAGCACAGGATATTGAAAGAAATATTAAACTTAGAAAATATTGAACAAAAATATTATAAAGAAAGGTTATTCTTAATATTTATTTCTCTTTTTATTCTCACCATGGTAACACACTGAGTTCAGACAAGGAGACCCATCATGTTCAACTCCTTTCTTTAAACTTTCCTCCTCATTTAATATGGCTTCAAATTAGCATGATTTAACTGATGTATTAGAGGCTGTGGTGGTGCAGCAGATTAAACTGCTGATCGGAAGGTGAGCTCCTGTTGTTAGCCCTAATTTCTGCCAACCTAGCAGTTCAAAAACATGCAAATACGAGTAGATAAATAGGTACCGCTTTGGTGGGAAGATAATGTTGCTCCATGCAGTCATGCTGGCCACATGACCTAGTAGGTGTTTACGGGCAACGCCGTTTTTTTTGGCTTGGAAATGAGCACCACCCCCGAAGAGTCTGACACAACTAGACTTAATGCCAAAGGGAAACCTTTACCTTTAACAGATGAATTTACTTGTTAAAGTATGCAATGTTGTTGTTTCACATCTTCATCATCACTTCTGCTGCAGCAAAAACCATAAAGAGTTTGACTATTCATTAATCTCAGGTCAAGAAGATTCAGCCCGGGGGTGGAGGGAAGTTTGGGGAGCCGATTTTGTATTTTTAAGATGCAGCACTTTATACTCTTACCTGGGAACAGAAGCATAGCTAGGCTAGGGAATGCATCTCACAAAAAATTCTCTACATGATAATTAAGCAACAAGAGAATTCTTTAATAACAATGAAAGGGAAGAAAACCCGGTGAAACAGATTTGGGGCCCATAGAATTTAGGATTAAATACCTAGAAATAAATTGCACTGAATTAAATTTACTTCTGAGAAGACATACTTAGGACTGCACATTGATGCCATAACCATTTTCTTACTCTTCCTATTACCAGCTCTACAAAACGGTTTGTTAAAGAAAAACCTGACATCCTAAGGGACCCATCTGGCCTTTTCTGGTTCAGGTAAACCTTACATCTGAAAGTGTTTGTAATCTTAGCACTGCTCTAACCAGGTTATGATACTACTTCAGTTTTCAAACATTATTAATGACACAAGAATCCATGTCTTGATCTATGAAACCTCTGTTTTTTGCCCTCCCTGTTTGTTAGAACATTTATAAGGAGCAGTCCTACAGACAACAATACTTACAAATGGTTAATCTGTCCTTAAGCAAGAGGTTGGCAGTGGGGAGATAGTAAAGGAAATTCTTCCATTGAATGAGGAGGTAGCAACAGACCAGCAGAATTGCCAAATAGTCTGGGGATTGTCAATACTGATATGTCATCTCCATCTGTCTGGAGCCCCGTTTACACTGTCACATAAAATCCAGGTCATCTGCTTTGAACTGGATTATATGGCTGTGCAGACTCATGTAATCCAGTTCAAAGTAGATAATCTGGGTTATCTGCTTTGATAATCTGTTTTATATGGCAGTGCAGATCCAGCCTGGGACAGCAATCATGGAATCATTTTCTTTTAGCAAAGTGAATCCATTGAATATTCACAAAAATGCTGCTTAATTTGTCATCTGTGTTAACCTCTGAAGAGTTAGACATACATGGACAATCCTGATGAACTGATGGTCCTCTAGATGTTGATGGTCTATAACTCCCTTCATTCCCCAACAGGTCAGAGGTCAGATGGGGATCAAAATCCGACCACATACATGGGGCTAGGTAACTACCTGTGCAGTGGCACTCTGAATTCACTGAAGAAGCATTAGCAATAATTGTTTTTGCATTGTGTGCTAAATGCTTTTAACTTACTGTTTTTGGAAGCCATCTTGGGCCCCAATCTGGGACAAAGGCAAATTAAGAATAAAACAAAATAATGTCAAAAAAAAAAGAGGTGACTATCTCTGAGCCATGTATTCCTCAAATGCCTTGCTTCGGGAGGAGGATCCTCAAAGCCAAGACATCATGGGAGGGAGAGCTTGGGGCTTTATCATAATAGCCAATTGTCTCACGACAATCACATTGTTTAAGCAAACGGAAGCAGACATTACTGGAACAATCACTTTCACACCTCACTGCAATTGCACAATGCTGGTACTTTAGTGATGCTAATTCCCACAATCAGTCCTCTGAACAGCCTTGTGTTTACAGGACATGTTTAGTATTTTTTCTATGTTGTCACAACTGTGCCATTGCAAGGTTTCAGTGTTCTCATGAGACCTTCATCTGCTTCACAGTATTGAGACTGCAGTGGAAGGAAACTACTGCAAAATAAATGGTCATGGAATAACACCAATATCGGATTCATTGATGAGTTTTTCCACAAGCCAAGCACAATGCAAGTATGAGAGATAATAAGGTGTTGTATTCTAAGCCCCAACCAAAGCAATTGCAGTTTATTTACCTCATGTGATAAAGTTCTTGGACAATCACCAGTGCCAAGAAATAGGCAATTATACAAGCCACTTATTCCAGAATACCTTGATTCCAAAGCTAGATGAACAAATCCCATCAATCTTTCTGGTGCAGTTAGGTGAATAAGAATTCTTATTAAGTTAATCTCATGCCTAAATAAAGATGAGGTGCTCCCAACCCAATAATTTGTTACAGAAACACCGAACACCTTCCTTACTTGATCAGATTTCATTTTTTATTTCTTTTTTGTCACTTTTACAGATACAATTAAAAGAGAACCAAGAGAACTGGAACTCTTCTGCTTTGATATCTAAGCACAATCATTCCAGCTCTGGACTCTTTCATTCAAGATGATCTACCCTCGTTCTTTTGCTCTTCATTGTTTTGAATTGGGGGCTCCAAAGGCTTAACTTCTCGTGAAATGTGTATACAATAATAAATGTTGTCATATCAACTGCTGTCAGTCTTCGTCTCATGCATATTTTCCCTACAAACCTTGCAAGACTTTAATGGACAACTATTGACAGGATAACCCTTTGACTTAAAATTCCCGTGGTAGATGCTAGACTTCAAAGTTCAAAACTGATCTCTTCAGCTATGCCTTATAGACTTAATGTGCACATATTTACAAAGAATAATACTTCTCACCAGGCTGAAGAATTTAAGTAATAATTTCTGTACTTAAAGATGTTATCGAAAAACAAGAGTTATATGCAGGACTTTACTGTCCAGAATGTTCCCTTTTCAATAATATTTTTTATTAATTTTTAGTTGTTAAAATCCTCCCCACCCCAACATCCATCTCTCAGACCACACATTTCCTCTATATCTTTATCCTTAGCCATGAGCACAATTTTCTTAGTTTCTGTACAATATTTACATTGGCTTTGCCGCTTTTTATCAATTCCATTTATCTTAAATTTCACTTATCTTACCCTCTTGTGTACCGTACAGAGTTAAATATGTTACGTTAGATTGAACCTCATAATAAAGATTATTCCAATTTTCCATAATCCTTTTTTCATCTTTCCAACCCCATGCTATCACTGCTTGTCTTGATAAACTCATGGCTTTAAACAATACATGTTTTTTAACGTTAAACTTATTGTTGTCTAATACTCCCCTTAGCATCAAATATATATTCATTTGAAGTGATATTTTGAATAATTTTTCCCATGTTCTTCACTATTTTTTCCCAAAAGGATGTTACCTTTGGAGATTATTTATTTAAAAAATTATTTAAAACATTTATATTCCACCCTTCTCACCCCGAAGGGGACTCAGGGTGGAGCACAACATACATGGCAAACATTCAATGTTGGGACATGAATAAATTATATGCATACATAAACATTAACAACATTTGTCTCAACATTGAAATACATTGTTTAAAATCATTTCCACAGCATATGGGTGTACCATTCTTTATTAATCTGCAATCTCAAAATGTTGGGCTTATCCCTGTTACCATATATGAAAGTTTGGCTGGGGTCCTATACCATTTCAATACGAATTTCCTTTCATAGGAATGACGTGCCAGGAGAAAGTGGGGGGGGGGGGGGGGGAGAGGAAATAGCTCCTGCCCGCCTTTCTCCTGGCTCATAAGTCCTATGAGCCAGGAGAGCTCCAATAGATCTTTAATAGCGGCAAAGTAATTTTATTTTTTAAACACTTTTAAAGCGGTTTTGGGAGGGGGTGGAGGCTGTCTCCCTGACCTCTTGGAAGGTCATATGGACAGCCCACTCCCAGAAAAGCTTTCTTGGGGGAGGGGTGGACTTGAACCTGGATGTAATTGCGTTTAACAAATGTGAATGCTCCCGGGTTAAAGGGCTGTCTGGAACCACCCTTAGTTAACAGGAGGTGCTGCTATTTAATTCTGCTTCGACCCGCTGAGCCAAGGTCTCTGCCCAAGGCAGCAGTGGAAAGCTCTGTTGTAGGAATTCCAAAGGTAGAGAGTCTTCTAACTCCATGGCAAAGTATTTTACTGCTGAATCATTTTTACAGTAAAATTTTGCTAATTTTAGGTGAATTGTCTTTCTTTTGTAATTTGAAGTTTCTGCTACAGGGAGGAAAGGCACTGGACGGTGGTGTTCAGTGCAACCCATCCCAGGGAACATCCTTGCTATTGCAGGTATGTTCTTCACTAACAAAAGTTTCCAAAATGTCTGCACAGATAATGCATTATAGCAAACTTTATTTAGAATATACATGAGCATAAAAGCGAAATTTCTGAGGCAGGACACCGTTCAAATTATGTACCCTCCAGATGCTGGTCGTGGTCGATTGCAGCCTACAGCATTCTTCACTGTTAGCTATACTAATTGGGACTGCTGAGTCCAACAACGTCTTAAGGGCCACATGCTTCCTATCCCTGAATTAGGGACAATTCAATGGAAACTGAGCATCCATGCCACCGAGGCCTCTTGTGCTTCAAGTAACAAAACTTGATTTGCAAGTGTCCCTAAATATTGATGACTAGCTATTTTTACAAAAAAAGTTAAATGTGCTAATTTAAAGGTTTACAAGACAAAGGGGGGGGGGGAGTACACCATATTCCTCTTGTAATAGTAAGTGTAGACATGCACAAAAGTGTGCTTCTACACTGCAGAATGAATGTCGTCTGATGTCACTGTAACTACCATGTTTCAATGCTGTTGAATTTGTAGTTTGGTGAGGCAGTAACATTATTTGGCAGAGAAAGCTAATGACCTTATAAAACAACAGCTCCCAGGATTCCATAGCACTGAACCATGGCAGTTGAAGAGTTGTCAAACTGCACTTACTCTACACTGTCTTTCTTGAACTCCACCCCCGTCAGCTTTGCCCCTTCCACTGCTCTACAAATTCTTCACCATTGACCAATAGGAATCGCTGGCTTCCCAGGAGTGGGATAGGGAATCCAATATCAGCTTTAGACTGAAATGTCAAGGTCACGTAAGATGTTGAAGAGGCCAACACCTAAAGCAGTGGTATCAGATGGTGGCTTTAGGTCAGAGTTGTCAAACCTGTGGCCCTCCAGGTGTTTTGGACTTTTAACTTCCTGTCAAGTCACTGCAGCTGTAACTTGGCAAGCAGAAACAAGACAGTTCACAGTCAACAGTTTTAAAAGATTTTAAGCAGCAGAGAATGTCAAAATCCAGTTCTAAGGTCACATATACATGAGGCTCAATGGCTAGTCCAAACAAAGTCCAGGGTCAATCATAAAGACAGTCCAAACAAAGTAGCAAGCACAACACGTTGTCCAAGAATCCAGTCCAAGGGTAAAGCACATAAACAGCTCACCAAATCCACAATACGTAATACAAGAAACAAGGGTCAAGGTCACCTGCTGAAATACCCAATACAACGATTACTTCCAGCAATGTCCTGTTCCCAACACCCTTCTTTTATGCTTCCTTTATACACATCTTTCTTCTGTTGAGCCAATCGGTTTGACCAGCAAAACTGAATTGGATCCACTCTCAACTATAAACAGAAGGGGAGACTTAAATCCTGCCCTTCTTCCAGAAGGGCTTCATCCTGCCCCAACTCAGCTACTACAGAACAACAGGATCCAGCTCCTGCACAGCAGTATCATTCTCAGGCCTGTCCAGCTGT